TTTTTAATATATAGTATTGAAAGATCGCTGTACCTATCTTGAACCAACGATGTCCTTAGCCAAGTTTTTATTTTTTTCATCATTGCACTGAAACTTCTTTCGCTAGTACCCAAACTAAGTAATTGGTATATTTAATGCTATTGTAAATAATTTTTTATTATTTCTTATTTTACGATTTCAAAAAAACAAACAGATAATTATAAAAATTATGTATAACATTTCTAACAAAGTTTCGATTTTGGGGGGGCTATTAAAATATTTTGGGGGTCTATCCCGCCCCATGTCCGCCTATGCGTAGACCTATAGTCAAATCAGTAATTCGACCAAACACCCTGTCGGATCGTCGAAAAACTAAATTTCTATGCAATTTTACTATCCATATAAGCACATAGTCAAATTATTTGAAACTCCTAACTAAATGCCTATTACAGGGGGGTCAGATATTGACGTAACGTAACGTCCTCCGAAATACTTTAAACTATATTTCCTAATTAATTATTTGTTGTTGTTGCCGTTTAATTGTAAATACTCGTATGGTGAAATACTCAAAATCAATCAACGTAAAATAAATCACCTATAATAGGTTTTCTCCTGCGAGAAGTAAAAGTATCATATTCATTCAACACCGGACGAAATACATTTCTCTGGCTATTTGCGTAGGCATTTAGTAGAGTGTCTGATTTGACCATACGACTACGACACATAACATACTAGTGCATACGTACCTTCCGTTCGCCGCGTTACAGAGCAGTGTGTAATTAATGTTTTGTACGTGCTCGGTTTATGATGATCGTAAACAAGTCGAACGGAGATCGCGAAAATGTCAGCCACTACGAAAACCGGTACGGAAATAATATTACGACGCCGTTCATCACGAAAAACATTACCTCAGAGAAAATCGCCGTACACGCGATGTAAGTGGATCGAACATGGAAAAAAAAATAGAAAAATTCTTTTGACGGAAAAAAAACCCACGCGTGAAAGCATCACTTTTCATTCCGTAACAATAATAATAACGGGTCAACATATCCACGTGTGGGATTTATTTTAAATTCTACAATCACCTAATTACAATGTACGTAATGGAATGTGGACTCCTTTAATGATATCAAAAACGATATTTGATCTCGTTTATAAAGTATAACGGAGGCGTCCTGGTGTACATCAGCCATAGTCTTGAGCTCGTGAACGCGTTTTGGGAGTGATTGCGACGAAAAAGAAAAACAATTAGAAGGGAGCGTATATCATAATACTCGTATTGTGCATGCAAGTCGTACAATAATAAGACGTTATACGCGCCCAACCGATTTCAATAATATAATCGACGGTAGACTGTGAATAGTAATTCAACGGTGGAACTTTCAAGAGAGAGGCGAATATTAGCAACATATCGCAGTCCGTAGGGGTTATATTTGTATACAAAACCTTCTTAGACTTATTCCAAATGAACGCGTTCAATTCAGAAATTAAATCCATTCGAGGAATTAACATCATCGATTGACAGCGAATAGGTCTTTTGTTTTTACAGATCATGTCAACAATACATTTTTTTTTTTTTACTCTTTTTGTTAATTTCAGCCATGTAACTAAAATATTATCAACTGTTGTAATAGTGACGATTTAATGAACAATTTTTTATCAATTAAACCGTGGCTTCCTAAATAGAATTAATATAGATTCCAATATTTATTATTAAGTACTCACACTACCAATAACGGATATTATTAGAAAAAATATTAATCGAACGAATGGAAGTCGCAAGACGATGGTCTCGGGTTCGAATTGATAATCATTATTAGACGAGAAGAAAACCATAGTCAACGTTTCATTTTGTTTATTTAAAAAAATATTAATATAAACACTACCGAGAAAAAAACACTTTTTGTTTCATTTATATGCCTAGACTATGAAATTTATTGAAAAAATTGAAATACAAGCGGGCCTAATCAAATTCAATATAATATCTTACAACAGTTAATAACAAACGAAATCAATGAAGTAGGTACCTACACTTATTATGACTTCAAAAGTTTCTATAATATATTATTTGTTACCAAAACAAGTTATAACATTTTTGAGTTTCTTTTATATCTCCTTATGACTAACATTGGCATCACGATCGAATGCCCAATTAATTCATCTTTACTACATAATCTTAGTTAAATTTACGTGAATATAAAAATGAGCCATCGAACAGCAAAATTTAACAATCCGGATGATCCGTTAAATCCGGATACGCCCACTACTTATGAAAATAATGCGTCACGGACTACGTCTCGGTATCATCACGCAGTATAATATTTTTGTTATTATTATTATTATTATTATTATTAACACCACAGCCCTATGCGAGTCCGATAGACAAGTTCAGCGGTACCTACGCGGCGTTACTTCGGTATAATATTTTACATAAATATTTATTAAGACTTCGTACCTGTGTTTTGTGCACGCAAAGACGCGCATAAATATACATACGTAAGCATAAAATGTATAACGCGAACGTATACACTCGTACATACAAGCTCTACTGTATTCAAATTGTATCAACACGCGCACAATAATAAACCGCACGCGAGAACCTCCGGGGGGGGGGGGGGAATAAAAACACAATAATAATTTAAATATAACTCGGTAAGAATGCGGCGCAATACACGTCGGGTTCATTCATGATGCGATTCGGATGGCTTCGGTACTCATTCAAAACGATATTCCGATCGGTTACGATATTCATAATGTTCTCCGTTGTCCGTGTCGGTTGCCGTGAGGTCACACCGCGGCATTGATTAAATGTACAGTATATTTATCCAATGACCGCGGGGCACGTAAGTTTTTCACGTTTTCGCGGATCCGTTGTCGATAGTTTTCGATATATTCCGTAAATATTTTATAACCGTTAAAAACAGAAGTTTTCACCGTAGCCTTAAACGTTATCGTGTCGGTCTTGGGTCGATGGCTTACAGCCGCAAGACCGGGCAAGTCAACTATTATAATACTACCATGTCGTCAAGTCAAGTTAATCGAGAAAGACGAGAATTAAGTTTAAGAGTTAAAAACTAATCCTGTTGTTTATGTTAACTCGTAACAGGAATATTAACTTCGCTTCATTCAAAAATATTTACTTTTTTTTTTATAAATGGTTAAAATTACGTATCATACTAAAAATATATACAGTTTTGTTTATGCACGTTTATTATGAGTAGAGATTCCATTTGAAATCCAAGGCTAATAGAGTCTCCAACACTTCCACGGTTATAATTCCGTTTATTTTTACTAAAAACAATAATTTGTGCGAAAAATATATTTTTATATTTTTAATCACTGGTATTTTTTAAATTAAGAAAAACTTGTCTTAATTCACTAACTTTATAATTCGTTCCGTTTTAGTCTCTCGTATAGGTTGCGTTTTCTTTTTTTTTTTTTATCAACTCTTGTGTTACGACACCTGATACAAATATAGTTTGTTAAAACGTTATTATTTCACACAAATTGTTAATAACTATTTTAGTTTTAATAAATCGTTAGCTTTCTTCACAGGCAATGTCAGTACACAACCGATTGTGCGTTGTACGTAAAAGATTCACAGGAAATATAATATAATTATTATGGTTTAAAAAAATTCCGTGGTCAATTAAAAAGAATATGAAGAAAGTGCTTGAAATTTAATTTACATAATTTATTATCTTAAGTAAGAGAATTTGACATTGCTAGAGTTTTTAAAACTCATAAAACAATTATTATAACCATGCTAATCAAATGAATAATGATGATGCATAGTTCATATTAATTTCTTTGCAAACAAATATGCATGTTTCCTTTCGTTAACAGTTATTTATATTTGATTTAAGTGCAATAAGAATATATTTTTTACACGGAATACGCAGTAAGTATACGGTAATATATAGGAATGTAATGCGATCTAGAATAGAGCTCAAACACGTGTCACGTGAAATACGTGTTTATCCAAAATTCGAGTACATTTTTATAATGGTAAAATTAGTAATTTTATGTTATATACTTGAAGTTTTAATAAAATATTATTAGTACAGTATTAAGTTAAGGTTATACGTTTTTATTTTGAATTTTACACGTGCATTAAGAGCTTTAATTTAGATACGTTTTCGACGAGCTTGTCCGTACCATCTATATGACGTAATAACTGTATGACCGCCCTACTTTTTCCGTTTTTTATTTTCATGTCGTTCTCACAATGTACACAAGATTATTATACAGGTGTTTCGCACTTCTGCGTATTCGCGTATATTTCATTTTCAACAATGATACAGATTTTTTACCGGTGAATGAAAGTCTTCGTCGCATCGCGGTTTCAATAAACACACGTTGCGCGTGCACGGCAAAGCGTCCGTACATTTATGTTTGTTCGTGTACGTACGCACAACGGACGATAAATATTTTGCAAACAATAGCGCGCGCGCGAATAATAATTTAGAAAGAAAAAAAAACGCACCGCCACATAACTGTAAAATGGAGATTATCAATGTACATATAATATTATAGCGACGCGCGCGCGCTCGCAGCTTCCTCTACCGCGTAGCAGTTCGCGTATATTGTACGCAAGGTCGTGGCTGACAAAAGATTTTTTTTTATTAGAGGGGAGGTTAGAGTATAAATAATGTTTTTCGACTGGTAAATCTTAAAACGTCCGGTCTAATGAGCATTTAAAATCGTTCGATTTTATTTTAAGAAAAAATGTCAGGAAGTGCGAACCCTAAAACCGCCCGCTGGTTATAGCTTCAGTATTTTGTCATTAATTTCGTCAAGACTACTATTTCTAGCTGCTAATATCGCGCTTTGACATATCCACTTTTAGCCTTTGTTTTGTACTCGGACTACATCTGCATAGACTTTGGAAGTTAGGTTTTCAATGCTGGTAAAGTTTTCATCTATATCATGATACATTTCTATTTTGTTTTCAAAATTAGGTACTTTCCCGTCTCCTATTAAAAGTAACTTGAAGGAAAATTTGTACAGCCATAACCAAAATGTGCTCTCATATGAGTAAATACCTAGTTTTAGAGTATAAACGAACTTTTCATAATGGAAGTTTTTAAGTTTTTAAACTTCACAATGTCAGCTCTAGTTCCCCTAACCATTTGACTAAAGATTTCAAAGCAGTTAACTCCAGACTGACTATACTTATAGTGGAGGCAAAATTCTTCAAAATAGCATTTTTCAATGCTCATGAACCATCTGAGGAGAAAAATTATGAAGAAAAGGAGACATTTTATTCACTATTGGAATCCACTTTAGAGGGAATCCCTAGACATTATATCTTAATCTTATTAGGTGATTTTAATGCTAAAATTGGTAAAGAAGAATGCTTCAAAACAACTACCGAATCGAATAGTTTACATCAGATATCGAATAACAACGGATGCAGACTAATCGAATTAGCTACAGGAAAAGGTTTAAAAATAAAAAGCACGTCATTTCCGCATAAGGAAATATATAAAGGTACGTGGAGGTCCCCATATGGTAGATACATTAACCAAATTGATCATGTATTGGTGATTGCGAGATTCAGCAATAGTGTGCTAGATGTAAGGACCTTCCATGGTCAGAATGTGGATCTGATCACTTCCTAGTTAAAGGAAGACTTAAAGTGAAACAAAGGAAATAGAGAAGAGCAGAGAACATCATCAACAGAGCTCTTTAACATACAAAAACTAGAGAACCTCAAAACGAGTGAAGATTTTTGTAAAAATATAATAAATGAGATTAAGGAAGAACACTTGGATTATGGAAATCATGATATCGAAAGCTTATGGTTAGCTATAAGAAATGTGATTAGCAAATCGACAAAAAAAAATCAGTCGGGGTCGACGATTTAGGAGGACCCCTTGATTTAACCAGGTATGCGAAAATACTCTACAACGCAGGAAGCAAGCAAGGGAAGCCTGGTTAAAGGATACTCAAAATAAAGAAAAATTCTTTAGATATAAAACAAGACTGAAAGAAACAAGCAAAATTATAAGGTGCGAGAAAAGAAAATGTATTAAAGACATAGTAAGAAATGCAGATTAAGACTATAAAAATCACAGGACAAGAGACTTATATAAGAAGATTAACTCTCTAAGCAAGGATTGTAAGTCGAAAGAAAATTTCTTAAGAAACAAAAATGATACTTTACTAACGAATAGAGATGACATAGTCGAGGAATGGGGACAATACTTCGACCAGTTACTGAACTGCAGGGAACCCGTTAATCCATTATTTTTGAGACTAAAGAACCGAATTGAGAAAAACATACTGAACCAACGGTAGAGGAAATTTTGAACCACATGAAACCCTGAAAAACCACAAGACACTCGGTGAAGATGGAAATACCGGAAAGCTACTCAAAATAGGAGCGGATAATCTATCTAAATATATACATCAACTAGTAAGTTTAGTGTGGCAAAAAGAAGAAATACCAAAAGAATGGAAGACAGCCTTAGTTTATGCCATCCACAAGAAAGGCAACAAACAAATATGCAATAATTACAGAGGGATTGCTCTGCTTAATGTAACTTATAAGATTTTATCTCATTGTATACTAAATAGAATTAAACCTTGGACAGAAGAGATTTTAGGAGAATACCAGGCTAGATTCAGGAAAAACCGCTCTATGATAGATCAAATTTTCATTCTACGCCAGTTGTTACAAAAAACCTGGGAATATAATAAAAACGTACATATTTTATTCATCGATTTCAAGAAAGCTTATAATTCAATACATAGAGCGTCCCTAATTAAAACATTAGAAGAGTTTGGATTGTCACGTAAGTTAATAAATCTCATAGAATGTAGTATTAGTTACACTGAAGTCAAAGTAAAAGTAGGACACACGCTGTCAAAGCTAGTGATAAGTACAAGCTAGTGAAGTACAGGTGATAATTGGACTAAGGCAGGATGATGCTATTTCACCAGTTCTATTCAACATAGCCATAGAAAAAGTAGATCTAAAAAGTAAATCTAAATAAAGAAGGTATAACACTAGGAGAAAGTAACATCGGAAATTTAGCATATGCAGATGACATAGTCTTGATGACAGATAGTAAATATTAGCTCAAAAAACAATCAAAAAACTAATAAATTCTGCAAGACGTATAGGCCTAGAGATTAACGCAGAAAAAACTGAATATACGGTAGTTCAAAGATACGAGCAAATAGATCCCCGCAACGAGTGGCTAGAAGTCGATAACCACAAGTTCAAAAGAGTACAGAATTTTAAATATCTTATCGCAATAATAACTCAGCAGAATGAAATAGGTATGGAAATAAAAGCGAGAATACAAGCTGCCAATAAATGTTATTTTGGCCTGACAAAGTTATTAAGATCTAAATCAATCTCAAAAAATCTGAAATATCAAATATATCAGACACTTATCAAGCCAGTTGTGACATATGGTTCGGAAACTTGGACCTTAAGGAAAATTGATGAAAATGCTCTATTAGTGTTTGAAAGAAAAGTACTGAGGAAAATGTATAGACCATGTAAAAACGAATCAACAGGCTAATGGAAAATATTCATAAACAAAAAAACTTCAAGATTTATATCAAATGCCAAGTATTAAAGAAGATATTACCAAAAAAATATTGAAGTGAGCAGGTCATTCTTGGCGAAAATCAGGAGGAATTAGTAAAAATAGTACAGGAGAATGTACCACAAGGAAAACGACCACTTGGAAGGCCGAAATTACGCTTGGAAGATAGGGTCAAAGAAGACATAGAGAAAGTGAGACCAAGGATGAATTGGAAGGATTTAGCAGTCTCGAAAACTGAAAATTAATTATTAATTATTATTAATTATTAAAATAATAAAATAGTAGTAGTAATAGTAGTAGTAGTAGTAGTAGTAGTATGGTATCATTATTAATTAATTAATCATTATTATATAAATTACTTACTTTATAATACTTACACTTAATACAGTAAGAGGCAGTTTAAAAGTTGAATGAACAGTCCACCTCTTAATAGTGTCGCAGCGATACCCGACGACAGTGGCGTATCCAGGATTCATTTGACGGGGATGTTTTAAAATTTAATAGACTTATGGTAAATGGGAGGCTCTGCCCCTCTCCTATATTACATAAATAAATATCATGTATTTATATAAATTATTATACTAATGAAAATGATTATATTAAGACAGTGTATGTAAAATCGACAAATTGTATACAACGTTTATTCAAATTATACAGTGAGTAATAGTAGGTATAGTTTGTAATTTAATGAAATAACATAGAATATGGTCAATGGAGGGTGTTCTAACACCCATATCACCCTGCCCGACGACGCAACGATCACAGCTAGTTTTCCTCGAGACCTAACTCTTGATAGTATCAAATTAGTAACGAAAGTCATGTCGGTTCCACTTAGGGCATCCAAAAGAAATAACTTCCATTCGTTAAAACGAACACTGTTCAAAACAAAATTGTACACCGTAAGCTGGTCAGTCACTAATTTAGGTTCATTTTCAGAAATATATTAATTTAATTTATTCAAATCATACGGTTTCTGCAAAGCTTTTTCCAACGGATTCATATTATCGTTTGAATTATTTCTATTTAATACCGGAAGTCCAAAATTCGTTTAAGATTTATCCCTTGTATCATGAATCTTATCTTCAATCATTCCTTCGTTGTATACATCATCATTATATTCTAATGTTATATACTGATTGTCATTACGAATTATATTTAATATATCTTCACACAGATCATTACGAAATTTATTCCATAGCTCGTAGAGGTCAGATGGCTGACAAAATATGAGGACGATGACCACACCAAACGCATCGCGATAAGATAACGATAATAAAAACAATAATACGAACAGGAATACGTCGTTTTAAATTTATTTTGGTGCCGAGTTATTTTAAAACTATGATATCTTCCATATATTGCGCTGTGCACGAGTTAATTTTAGTCGTGAACTTCTTGAAACATTTCGTATTTACACGACGCGTTACGGCGATATCAAAACAGGGTTGGCGTGAAAAAGCCTGGTATTATTTTTATTTCCTATTAAAGTATTAAACGAATTTGAAAAAAACTGTATTAATTATTTTTTTTAATTGGCCGGGTACGATTAGAAGTATAAAATGGAAAAAAATTACGAGTAGTAGGTAGCTGGAAACCAATGGATGTAAAATTAATTTCGCACGGAACATCGGCCGAGATACAGTTTTTAACGGATCGGATTTTATTATATTTTTTTTAAGCTGACCCGGTGAACTATTGTTACGCATTATACATTAAAACTTTCCCAGAGACGCGACCAATTATAGACCGATTAAAATAATTATAAATGTAATAAGTTTAAAGAAGGCAAAAAAAATGTGAAAACAATACAAACGATTTGGGCCATCGAGACACATTGTACTAAAATCCTATTGAAATTCCACTGCATCGTACAAATTCCAGTACGCTGCAGTAATTTTATGGATTTTTAAATAGCAGAATCATAAACGTCTTTCGATTTCTCAAATTTCGACTTAACCTGTGAACTTTCCAAAAATGTTATACAGCCAACAACTTTTCTCGTTATGCACCACAAAAATAATTTTTGAACTCGAACCAGTAGTTCCAGAGACCGTTCAAGCGAACAAAACCTTCAGTTTTATAACATTAGTGTAGAAGTGTAGATGACATTACATTTGAGTAATGAGTAACAAATAAAGTAACTTATTACTCATTTCAAAGTAACTAATCCAACACAAATGATATAGTGATTAGAATAGTTCAGCATCGGCGTCCCTAGGGGGGGGGGGGGGCAAGACGAGGCACTTGCCCCCCCCCATGGAATAATGTTATTTCCACAAAAATTGGTAAAACTCAAAATGTCCACGGTGATTGAAATTTATATTTAATGAAAAAGAATGATGTATAATAATATTTTTTAATGTTTTAATTGTAATAATAATACCTACCTAGTTGTAATGTTTTAATTCATAATTTTAATAATGACGAAATATAATAATTTACTATAAATAAAATGTATAAAAAAATTTTCATTTATTTTTTAAATTAATTTTGTCCCCCCCCCCTAGAAAAATGTCTGGGGACGCCCATATAGTTCAGTACTCAAAAAAGCACTCAAATGTGTAGTAGGTATAAGCAACCAATCAGTTTGTTATACACGAATTGTAACTAATTGTAATTAAACTGGATCATAAAAAATTTATTGGATGAAAGACAAATAAAACTTTAAAACTTATTACGAATACAATGGTGTTGTGAAGAAATAATGAATTTAATATGCCATCAATAATTATTAGACTATATTTTTTGTTTTTAATTTTTGTACAGAAACATTGTGAATACTGATTTCAGACTCATTTTAAATAAAATATAATCAGCGTTTTCAACTGAGAATTATTAGTATTACTGTTATAATTACAATTTTAAAAAATGTACAATTTTGTATTGGAAAACAATTCAAATGTTAATTTTACATTTTTAACAGTAACTTAAATATAAATAAAAATTAAATTATCAAATATATTGATTTTGTAAAATGTTTAATAGAAAACAAAAAAATTTCCAAATTTTCAATTAAAAATATGTTTTACCCTTCTGAGAGACAGTATGAGCTTGTATCAAAACAAATAAATGCATTATTCTGCTCAGAATCTAAAATATATAAAAGTATTCACCTTATATTCATATTGGTACAGTTATTTACTTCAAAATTTATGATGCAAATATTTCAAAAAAACTAATTTTTTAATAATTTAATCATATTTTACAAAAAGAAAATATTAATTTCTTGAACTAATCCTAGCATTTTTTAATGCTTTTTTTATATTTAAGGATAATAAACATTATAATATTGATCATACTATACAAGTTTTATTTTATATTTGTTTACATTTGTTTTTAAAATGTTTAATTTAAATAAAAAAATTACTAATAAATAAAATATTATTACTAAAAAAATAAAATAAAATAATTTAAAATTTAAAACCTTAAATCATATGCCCAAATATTTTAAACCATTTACAACCAACTTACATTTATTAAATTGTACATTTAATTTATTAACAATTAAATAGTGGTAGTTAAACATAGGCAAAATATTGTGTGCTAAGCTTATAAGTATATGTAACCGATAAAACAAAAATTCACAGCCAATACAGACAAATAAAATTTTATAAAATAAAATACAATTACTCAGTAGAGTATAATATATGTAATAAGAACCATTCTTGATCACCTATTTCTAATAGGTAATGGGTGTCCCTCACTATTGACTACATATTTGTCAATAGACAACATATGTCTATCATCAGACATTAACAAATAAAGGTATTTGAGTGTTTCTGCAAAAAAGAATGATTCAGTCATGTCTTGAGGACGTGTATCATTGGGATCTAACACATTGCCAATAGTTGTAAAACCAGCAGCAACTTTTGTGTGTCGTTCAATTGCTTGAAATATTGACCAACCCCAATCTTGATATGTAGTATTACCCGATATTTGATACATGTACCAAAGACTTTCAACAAATTCAGGACGCAATAAACTGTGAGCATCATTTGTATTAACATACATATCTTGATTTACGTTTACCTAAATGAATCAACAAAACTCATAAGATTTTATTAATAGTAATAGTATAAATCCTATCTTACTTTTGTACCAAAATATACAATCTCAGGAGATAAAAATGTTGGTTGATCAGCATACATGCGGTAACATGTTTCCATCAGCTTTTCGGCTAACCTCATATGACTAGAAGGCATACCATAATGGACACCAAGTGCTAATGTACCAGGTAAATAGCATACTAAATGATCCATCTTAGGATGAAAGTCACGTGATCCAGCTTTTAGTTCACCTATATAAGTTAAATTTCTCCGTGGTGATGTTCGCACTAATTGTGTTATTATACCATCAATTGCTTCTATATAGTCATCTTTCAAACTGTAATAAATACATTTTGTATCATTGATATCATTAATGTTAATAATAAATAACTAATACAAGTCAATTGATTTTCCAGTTTGAATCCATTGTTTCAAAAGGTATTCATAGTAACTATCACCTCTGGCACCAATTTTAATCTCGGACCCTCGATGAAATTTTCCTGTATTTGGATTTATGTAGATTGGCACAAGTCCATAAGATTTTTCTAATGTATGAATATGTTCAGACACTTTAAAAGCAACATTCTAAAAAATAATTGAGAATAACATTATTAGATTAAAGTAGATTAACTATAACTAGTAATTATATTTGTTACCTCAAAATTTTGAGTACCAGTAGATCGTGATAAATCTCTAAATTCTAATTGAATAGTAGATACCTCAGCTGTGCTCGAGTCTGGACTCCATTTTGGTGAATGAGCCAAATGTGAGATAAGATTTACATCTGAATATGGTATCGGTGATGGAGATTTAGTGAAACATGGTAGAAGCCGTGTACCAATATCTAACTATTCAAACAAAATTAAAGTAGCAAATCAAGTATATTATAATAATATGATATGATATATAATAACAAATATTAATTATTTAATAATGAATTAAAAAACTCTTTTACAAAAACATATGTATTGCTTATTTCAATAGTATTTTAATTTTTGTACACTATTGAAATAAATGAAGCATTTAACTTAACCTAAATATTGTATTTAAACAAAAAAAAAATAATTATGTTTGGTTTGAAAATAAAATGTAAAACTCAATAATTGTGTTTAATGTTTTTTTTAATATTTTTTTTTTTTAATTATTAAAAAATGTATTGTTTATTTAATATTTATTCATTAGTAATGAACATCATACGCCAATGAATTACTTGGCAAGTATTGAATATATGAATTATATAACTATTGAATTATAGAAATTCTAAACAGTTGTATTTCATGGAAATTGAAAAAAAAAATCAATTTTATTCAATGTTATATTTAAACAAATAATATTATATGCAAATATTAAAAAAATAAATGTGTTTAATTTTAATATTGTATGGCCTATTTCAAGTATTTTATAACATAATTTAAATTTATGGTTATAAATGTTGGCTTTTTCATCACACATGAATCCCATTTTTATTCATTAATATAAAAATAAACATCTATGTATTAACATCAACATAAATTATCTATATTCTAAGTGGTTACACTGTGTTACTTACAGCTTTATCAAGAAATAATGAATCCTCTGATAGATGGTAAGCACTCAAAAATCCACCCAACACTCTAATAGTAGTTTCAAAAAGATTGACATCTTTATAACGATCGAGATTAAAACTTGTACTGACCCATTCACGAGCTTCATCGAATTCTATAAAAGAACATTTTATTTCAAAATTAAATTAAACAAAAATTCAAAACCATTTAAATAAATTAGCTATTATTTATATCATGAAGACCAGAATTTAAGAGACAAAACTTTGCATTTAAAAACATTCATAAGTTATTAATGTTTAAATGTTTATACATAATAATATTAACTATTGATTACAAACTCATTGTCCCCTATCACCCCTATCACAAGCTATGTTTATTGTGGAAGTGTCAATTTGTATATTTTTTTTGTAGTTATAATATATTTACTGATGTTATTGAAAAATAAAAATATATTATTATATAATATTTGTGTTCAAATATTTTTCATAAATTAGTTCAAATTAACAATTTTATATTCTACCTATTCAAGTAAGCTTTTTTGTAGAGTTTAATTGTATACACATACAGTGCCAGATTAAACAAATTAAATACTCCTTAAGGCCCTCAAAAAAATTTGATTTTATTAATAATTACTACAAAAAAAATTAAGAATAATAATATTTTACTTAATATGTATAAGATGATAGTTGATTTAAATGCGACTGAATTTTCCAAATATTAAAAGGGTTTTTTTTTATATCTTTTTCTTATGTATACCAAATGTATTATTAAAATATTTTTTTCTCAATTTAAATGATTAACCTTATTAGGATCTTCACTATCGAAAAATAATCTGAAGTATTTTGGAATTTTGAACATCATGAATGAATTTGTAAAATCTCTAGATTTTTATATCATTCAAACTATTTCAAATAAAAAAGCAAATAAAAAGAAATATGTATAGATAAAGAGGATAGTCAACTGAATAGTTGCTAAGATTACAGAGAATAATTTTATAATAAACATACATATATTTTAGTATTTAACTATAATTTAAAAATGTATTTGACACAATTATATATTAAATATTAATTATATTCATTAATAGAATTATAATTTTTTTTTTTTTTAATTTATAGTTTAAAATCACAATTAAGTATAGTATAAGTGTATACTTTTTTTTTTTTTTTATGATCAATTAGGCCTGTACAACTTATTTGCTTAAGACCCATAAAGCACTTAATTTGGCACTGTATATGTATCTTAAGTAACATTTATCAAATTTAACATTTTAATTATTGAAACTATAATAACACTTCAATTGTACACATTTGACAATAAACATCTTATTTTAGTACTTTAATGATATTTATGCAATATCACAGATATTTTTTCAATCTGTATCCAACATAAAGTAAATTTAAAATAAAATTTTGAATTTTTAAATGTAGGTAAAACAAACATGTCCAATTTAAACTTACTGAAACAGAACTGTATATATTTTGAAAAAAGTTATTAAACTACAAATTATACAACAATTAATTGTTAATCAATTAACACTATAATTTTTAAGGTTTACCTTTTCTCAAATTCATTATCCAAAGAGTATCTAGAGAATCAACAATAGTCAATCCTAGATTAAACCAATCTTGGTATTTTTTAGTTATAGGTTTTATATGATCATGTCCCCAAGCATATTTGCAATATCCTTTCCATGCATGCTTAAATGCATTAAGAACAGCTGTTTGTCTATAACCTGCGGCTGGCATAAATTGAACACCATCACCAGAGGGAGTATTTCCAGCAACATTAAATGCTGGTGCAGCTATTTGTTCTTTTTCATTTGGAAATTCATTATCTTCAATTCCATTTAACTTTACAGCTTCAACACCATCAGGTAAACTAAGTCCCTAAAATAAATATTATTTGATTAATCAGGCTGAAAGGTCATTACTTGCAATTTTTACCGTCTAACTTACATTATCCAGGGGCCAACTGGTTGGCTGAGGTAATTTTAGTGAGTTAGTTTCAGATAATTGTTCTAGATTTTTATTAGTTCCAATGAACCATAGAAGTAATAAAATTAATATTATACTGGTTAACAAGTATAAAATTAATTTCTGTAATTTTGACAACTGTCTCCAACACTAAAAACAAAACATAATAGAAATATAACACATTTAAGCCTTTTAAAATAATAACAATACTGATAGCATACCCTTCGATATGAACTTTTGAAACTGTATTTTTGTTGCTGTCCCGTCAACGGTACTGTGTCGAAATTCAACGACACATGATCTTTGATCATGTTAAACAAATTTTGTTCCGTAATTCGTTTAATATAATTCAACAATTATGATCAGAGAGTTGAACATAAGACTGTTCATGGTGCAGTTCACTTAAATCGTTATGAATACGTTGCCACCTTAAATCTTAAAGTAGTTTGAAAACGGTTACAATCTATATCTATAATACGCACACAAAAAATAACAGTGTATTGTTTGGATTAGTGTGACGGACGCGATAAAACAAAAAAAAAAAAAATTATACGATTAACTGCTAAACATAGCTAAACATAATTACTTAAGAATTAATAAAATGTATTCGTTAACTAAATAGGAACGGTTTGAAATTTGATATAAAATATTAATATCTTATTGTTTTTTTTTCTAACTAGAATTATTTTGAAAATTGATAACGATATTTGATAAAAAAAAAAAAAAAGAGAGACCAAAGATACGACCACGGTCTGAAACACACTATGTCTTTGGCCGTGGTGATAAAGAGCTACTAAATAACGGAACGCCATCGAACAAATAGGTATGCCTCAGTTGTTTAATACTGTTTTTTTTATTTCGTAAGATTTTTTTTCGACTCGATTAAACTGTACACCGTTTCACCGCGCATTTCCACCATGTTAGGCGACCATGGAACGTGTAAAAATCGATTTTTATAAAAAAAAACCAACGCAGCGCCTCGTTCGTTCAACGGCGCCCACGACTTGTACGTAAAAACCGAAGGAAAATCACTCGCTTTTCGCGTTAAGAAAAATCCGCCTCGCTTATTTACAATCCGATTCAGCTATGGAAATGGTTCGGTTGTTACTACTAGCGCTTGGGGCAGACAACGTTCGAAGTTCTTTTACGATTATATTGTTACGTGACATCAATAAAATCCGGCACAAAGCAATAATTCGAACGTTTCGGCAAAAATGTTCGAAAATGGTTTCCAGACTACCGGAACGCTCTTCGGTGAACCGTAGACCACGGATACCCGTCCAAGAGCATAGGCGCATCTAGGGATGCGCAAGAGTGTTTTTAGCACCCCTGAGTTCAAATTTAGTGCTCCAGTATTTTTTATTCAGATCTATACAATCTATAGTGGTTACAGTGACATACCATTCGATTTTATCTACAGCAATTTCAGCATCCCCAATAGTTGCTCCAATGTCCAAAAACACTGTATAGAATGGGGACGATTGCTGCGATCAAGAATGGCGATTGATAGAATAGTTAAAGGATCTGCCGCTGCGCGGAAAACATCGAGGAAGCACGCGAAATTGTCATGTTTCACGAGTTACAGTTTACAGACTGGTATGATTCGATTAAAAATATTATTATGTAATAACTATTATAGATTCAACCCTTGAGTCGTACACCAGGTATTATTCTAAAGATTTTTATCAACTACGCATTTTTTTTAAATAAGCCTATCAAAATAGAACTATAATCTCAAAATATACTGTCAAATTATAGTTTAAAATGATAAAATGTGTAGCTTCTATGTGAAGTAATTTAAAATGTAATATATTTAAAAGATATAAAACAATTTACATTCGTGTTCAAAGTATTTTTTTTTACTATTTTTTAATAAATTTTTTTTTACTTTGTTTATAAATCATAATGTAATGTATAAAATAACACTAAACAACTTTGAATTTAAAATCAATTACGCAAAAGTTTATTATCAAGTGCGCATCTACCTTTTCCAAATACGCAAAATAAGCCCAACTGCGCTTTAGAATAAGCCCTATCGTACACATCGGTCGTTACTATGATTTGTATTCATATACCTGTATGATTTGATTTCCGTCTCGCTGAAAACCGTACGTCGATATTCCAGCAGATGGCGCAAGTGTGACGATAATAGATAAATAACGTTGCTGCCGAGTAGGTATGTTATGGTTATTAACTACCGAGTTGTTTTGCTTTAATTATGAATCATCGATATTATTCCAAACTATTTTTTTCTTATCAAATATGAATACATTTAATTTAAAAAAATTGACTTTAATTTATATTTAAGCATTATTATACAGGCTACGTTCACAGTTATTCTAATTTCTAAATAGTTATAACTGTAATTTACTATGATTATTGTCGAAGCGCAAAGAATGATATAATTTTATTTAAGTATACGTAGAAATTCGTTGTCATAAGTATCGATTATCCAACAACATCCAAGTTCTTATTTTATATGATCGTTTGTAAATTATCTAGGAATAAATTAAATTTTAGTTAAATGTGGTAACTGTGGTAGTAATACATTGTTCAGAAGTTATTTAAAGTGTAATTTATTGTATTTTAATATTTTAAATTTGATATTTTAATAAATGGATATATTTATTAACTGTATTAAATATTAAATGGGCAGCGATATTTTCAAATATTCCGTAATCAAATGTTAAAACACTGACCTTGGACATTTTGCACTTAAAAATAAAAAACAACTTCACAGGGATGGATTTTTATTTATGATACATTTCCTTTTTTTTTCTTTTCGTCTCCATTATATACCTATTATGTTAAATTTCGCCATTGAAAACGCTTGAAAATAGTTTTTATTCCTTGAAAACCAATGACGTATATTGGTTGATGAAGGGATAAAAAAAACAAATTTAGTATAAAGCATAATAAATTCTAAAAGTTAATAGTCCACAATCAGCTGTCTAATTAAATTACATATAATATAGCTTATGATGCGCCTCTGAGGATTTTGATAAACCGATTTCTATAACTTCCAGAAAATTCAGAGATCACTCGAAAATACAATAAAATTTATATCTACCGATACTTAAAATAATAAGTTAAATTTTAATATTACAGAATCATACATGTTAGTACATATGTATTTTATAGAGGTTCGTTATAATTACTTTGTACACTATAAAATTAAATTAATAACTAGCATTAATTTTTATAAATGATAAATACTAATAACGATTGTTCAGAATATTTAAAAATTTTAGTCAAGGCTATACATAGTTCAATAAACGCTTCTAGCTCAAAAATAATGAAATATTCGGAGGTCTCTTGTGACAACGTAGACGTATGTACGCAATATAATTATATTAGTAGGATTTTATTTTAAACATAAAACTATAAATTATATATACACGTTGTACGCATGTATAATGTTCATTTTGTTTTAAGGAAATTTAATACGTGGCGATGATCAAACGAAATCCGTATAACGTCAGACCGAAGATATTGATATAAGCTTAATCGTTTGAGGTATTAAAATAATATAAAATAAAATAATTATTAATTTCCTATTTTATTAGAATGTAAAATAATGACTAGCGTCACACTACTTTTTGGACTATCAGAAAATTAAAATATTGTAAATATAGTCACATACCTACTGTATTGTAGCATTACCATATTAACTACATAAACAAAACTTATCTTAAGATTATGAATTATAGGTACTGTGAAGAAACAAGTCTTAGTTCTTGTATGACTCCGTAATACAAACTATAAACTATTAAACGTATTATAATATCATAAATAATTCATAAATAATGCGTATAAAATGTTGGGGTTTATTACTAGAAACACAAAGGACTTTAAAAATCCCATATGTTTAAAAAATTTGTATACTTCTTTAGTTAGATCAAACCTAGAATTTGGTTCTTTAATTTGGTCTAATAATTATTCTACTTACTCAAACGAGCTTAATAATATTCAATATAAATTTCTGAAAAGAATTTCCTTTATTACTCATTGTACTATATCTAGGGACTCTTTCCTTTTGGTTCAAAACTCAATAGGTATTGACTCTCTTAACATCAGGCGTGATTTAATTGATATAATGTTTGTCTATGATATTTTAAATAATAATATAAACTGTCCAGCTATTTTAAATTTAATTGGATTTAGAATCCCTTGTAGGTTTACACGTAATACTGATTTGTTCCTTACACCAAATTTTAATACAAATAGTGGAAAAAATTCATTTTTTTCAAGAGCCATTATTAACGCCAATAGAATCTCCACATTCTTGGATTTTTTCTTTTTGTCTCGTCAAGTATTTAAAGCTAAAACTTTGTTATTTTTAAATCATAGTGCCTAAATATTATTTTATAATTTTATAGTTTTGTTTTTATACTAATATTTTATCTTTGTATTTCTTACTATTTTTACTTTTATTATTATCACTTGTTTTCATATTGTGCCAATTCATATATAATGTTTTTTTTTTCTTTCTTTGTTAAAGGGCGTTGGCCCGTTGATTTTATAAATAAATAAATAAATAAATATCAAAATAAAGTTCATTTTTCCGTACATGAAAACTTTTTCCTATTACTGATACAGGTGCAATAAAATTATTAATAGTTTTAGTTTTATCAAACGTATCTAATCGATTTTTTCACGCACAGGTGATCTGAAATACGTATATACTTCAATTAATTCAATATTATTGACTGTTCACTGTTTAATATACCTAAAAAACGTATATGAAATTAAATAATTTGTAATTTATTTATTCGTATGACAAATTCTAAATAGTGGATCAATGTATTATCGAAACAAATCGATGAATCAAACACATTGGTTCAAATTTGTCAATTATTTTTTTCAATTAAAACACTAAATTTGTAAGAGCAAATAATAAAGTACAAATAATAATTAATCTTCATCGTGTAATATTTTATATAATTACCTAATGTAAATCACATTATGAGAGTGGGACTCAAGAAAGCTCCAATAAAGCAAACATCTAAACACGTGTGACATAATATTGAATTACTTATTTCATATATTACATTTTAAATGTATAACATTTAACTTTTGTTACATATTTTTTCGGAAGCTAAATCTACATTTGGAGCTCATTGCATTTAAAAACTTAAATGAACCAATTTATTATAGTAGGTAACTTAAAACACTTACTCTATAGTTTAAAATTAAAACCTAAAATATTTTAAATTTAATGAAATACATTTATATTAGAACAATTTCACTATGAAGTTTTAATATAATGGTACATATAATATTTCGTGTCTATTTTTTTTTTACATTTCGTATGGCATATTTTATTTTGAATATTTCGCAAGATAGCGAATGATTTTGTTTGTAGTTATTTTCTTTAAAAACGCTTTGTTCAATCATTAAAATTGATATATATATTTTTTATATGAAGCACATTGTATATTGTATAATAAATACTATAAATACTCATACTTAATGTTATTGTAATTTGTTATTATATTATCAAAATTGACTATCGTAAATTAATTTTTACATATTTTATTTAAATTTTCAATAAATAAATAAAATAAATAATGATATAATACCATAATTGTATCATATTAATTTTTATTTTTAGTCTTAAAAATATGTAATTTTATGTATGATATACCTAAGAAATGTAGTAGATTGGTAATTTTTGAATTTCCGTCAA